GCAAACTTGTTGGTACTTAAACATCAGTTCCCAACTGTATTATAACTTGAAACATCTGTGCAGTTTAACTCAAGTTATAACCTTTGGAGGTCCTCAGAAATTGAATCGAATAACACATCATGAAGTTTATTGTCCTGCCCTTGGCCATACTTACAATGATTTCCAATGTCTGGGGTCTTGCAGAAGAAGTCACCTATGGTTCAAAAAAGTACTATTCCTTCAATGGCGACTTGATTATCAAAAATCACCTGCCTTTGATTGCTGCCCCAAACCAACAGGCCAATGGGATCATCCGGAATGGTGATGTTTTCACATTGCCTTGCAAGAATAGCACCAACAAAATTTTGCGAATTTGGAATGGGATGGAAGGCCTTGTAACATTCCAACCAAATGAACAGAAAAGTATTTCTTGGAGAGCGTCAAACCCCTTGATGGTATTAGCTACAGATGATTCAGCACACCTTGACGAGCAAGTATACCTGCAAGTTCTTCATAGAAACATGCCACACTAAGTTGAAAAAATATCCTGGATCTAACTGTATCCCAGCCTAGAATTTTGGAAGCAATGTTTATCTCCCATTTCAATTTTACCTGGTGGCTTTTTTGTTTTCTTGGTTCTTGCATACTCACATATGAATTTTAAGAATTCAGGTTGCTCACAAGACTCACATATGAATTTTAAGAATTCAGGTTGCTCACAAGACTCACATATGAATTTTAAGAATTCAGGTTGCTCACAAGATATGTGATGATGATTTTTTAGAGTTGAGATGAGGTTTTCCTTGCATGAATCTCAAGATGAATAGGTGATATATAGAAAAAGAAAAATTTTGGGATACGTGTTTGCAGAGAGTTATATGTATATAGAATAGTGTGATTTCTAGGAATTTAGAGTTAAATATACATATATACCTCACCTGGAGAAATAGCCAATCTGACCATTGCTAATATGAATTCATCATCCTTATCTACAGATCAAATGTAATAGATGCCATGTGTTGAATTTTTACACAATGAAACAAATGAGGTTGTCTAGAGTTGATACTAATGAGGATAGCTAGACATGCAGAATTTTTTTTTATTCTAAGATGTAGATGAACTCCTCTGCCCCCCCCCCTGAAGCTATGGGTACCAGAAGAATAAAAGGGCTCAAGAAGGAAAAGGTTTGTGGATGAAGCTGAAGTGCAATGGTAGAACTAGATTGCTATACTATGTAGAGGCTGGGAGGATTGACATCCAGCAAGGGTTACATTTCCCTTAGTAACTTTAGTTGGCCCGTCTTTTTTCAAAGGCTAAGATTTAAGCACACAGTCAGTTGTTAGCCTTATGCAAGAAATCCTGCGATTTGGAATATTTTTGTTTCATGTGTACCTTAAGCTTGACATCCAATCTTTTTGAGCAACACAAACAGATCAATTTGCGTATACCAGTTTTGGTATTCACGCATGCCCATGTAGTTGCACCTGAACCCTTCGAAGCTACGTACACTATCATAGAATCGTGAAAAACAAAGCGATTTGTCAGAGTTTTATTTTTCAGAAGGCAAGACATCTGTGCCTGTAACAAGTGTGGGCGTGTGCACATTTAACGAGATAGAAATGACTCAACGGTAGAAATCAGGCTCTACATCTGATCCTGATTCATCACTATACTCTAACTTAACTAACTCCCTTGCCTTCCTGGTCGGAGTGGTAAACCACTTGTCTAACTCCCTTGCCTTCCTGGTCGGAGTGGTAAACCACTTGTCACATTGTGCCGACCGGAGGGAGGGACTTACGAGCAAGGTCCACCCCGCGGCCCAAGAGCATTAAGGATTTTGGTGGGGGTTTTTTTAGAATCAATCTCACACAAATTTGGTTGATTCTTTTTCCTCTAGTTTTCACTTGGGGGTTCTTTCAAGCTGTCCCCATCTATGTACTAATTTTACTAATGGTAAACACATCTCCTTCATTAATGATGGTGATTGTAACATTTCCAATTTCAGATACTGTACAGTGCAAAATGTTTGATGCAGGATGAGGCAGAGAATTGTATCACCAAAAATGAAAGTTGAAATTCATCCAAGGGCCTAAAAAATCAAGAAAAATATGAAATGAATCCCCATGATCTTGTGCATCTTTTGCCTCCCCAAAACATGATCATCAACCAAGAAATGGTGCTGCTACACACAATTGAAGAACATGGATTTCCTAGTTCCCTTGGGCCGCGGGCTTGACTTAGCGCATAAGTCCCTCCTTCGGAGGGTCCCTGCGGGACAGTGTCCCCCCTCCAATAGGGGGACTTGGTTAACTTAGCGCTATACTTAAATCCACAGTATCCGTAGGGGGTGTTACATTCCCAGGGCCGTAGGTCGTTCAAGACACCGTCGACTGATCCACCTTTGATCAAGAGCACAACTAAGAATACCAAGAAACCGAATTCCATCGTGAAACCTGCGGTAGGGCTCTTCAACTTCTGTTCGGGTTGATATGGATCAGATCAGAGCAGATTGTTTCGTCTGAGGACTAAGCAAGACTTTTCGAAAGCTTGATCAGTGGCTTTGTATCTGTAAAAAAACGTCTCATGATTGGTGAAGGCTCACAGTAGGATCGAGTAAGATCGAGGAAGTTGATTCCTGATGGATGGGATGGTGAGCTTACTTCCTGCCGAAAGTCTTACATATATTAATAAAGGGTCACTTCCAGGTTTTAGTTCACTCTTCTTGGGCAGGCTCCATGTGGCCGCATGTAATATATTCCATGTTTCTAGGTGTAGGTGTAGCAGTTGAAGGCTTGTTGAGGCCACCCGCTGGGTGTCATGTGGCTCAAAGCCCTATGTTGTATGTACAGTGGGTTGACAGAAAAATCCGAACACCGCTTGCGGGTTCAGATTTTATGGGTGTCACCCCCTGTGACACTTAGGTGTACTGGCTACACCTCTCGAGTTGGTCATTGGCGATGGCCTGTTGACCATACCTTTTCCGAATCATTTCGTTTTATCAATTTTAAAAGTAAGTGTTTTTTTTTTCTTCTTCTTCTTCTTTTTCTGAACTAACCTTCTCTTTCTGCTCAGGATGGTCCGAACGAAGCCCGATCGAAAGCCTCACCTGTCAACGGAGACGAAGGCGATGATTGTAGGCATGGCAAGGGCAGGCAAGAGCCTTGCCTACCTCTCTCAAGAGTTTGGAACGGCGCGATCGACCCTCTCAGGCATCATCAATCGCTGGAAGGACCGTGGTACCAACGAATCGAAACCTCCGACTGGTCGACCTCCCCTTACCACTGAGCGCGACGAACGACGACTCCGGCAAGTCCTTGACGATCAGCGCCGGGCCCCAATGAGGGAGATCGTGGAGCAGCTGGCGACTCCAATCTCGATCCGAACCGCTCGCCGACGTGCTCACAAGCTCGGGTACCAGAACCGAAGGGCTGTCAAGAAGCCGTTCGTTAACGACAAGCAAGCAGCTAGGCGGCTTGCCTTCGCAACGGCTCACCTCAACTGGACCGTCGACGATTGGCGCTCGGTACTCTGGACCGACGAATCATCGTTTGAGCTAGGTAAGAACTCAAAAGCGATCTCGGTCTGGCGCCAAACAAACGAAAAATACCGCCCTGAATGCCTCGAGCCGACTTTCCGAAGCGGACGGTCGTCGACAATGATCTGGGGTGGCTTCTTTGATAAAACAAAAGCCCCGGTTCTCTTCATGCCCCCCGGCCAGCGCAACGCAGCAAGCTTCATCGAGAACGTATACGAGAAGGGCCTCCAGCCCTTCATGGACGGTATCGATGAGGCACATCGTCCTACCCTGATGGAGGACAATGCACCTGTCCACACCGCCATCCTCAGCCGCAACTACCGAGCCAACCATGGTATCAAGAAGATCGACAACTGGCCAGCCCAGTCCCCCGATCTCAACCCCATCGAGAACGTTTGGAAGGACCTCAAGGTGGCCATCCAAACACTCTACAACCCACGATCAATCCCCGAACTCAAGGAAGCAATCAGCCAGGCCTGGGATGACTATCCAACCCAAACCTTCGATCACCTCCTCGAGTCTATGCCCCACAGGATGAAAGCTGTTGTTGACGCTGATGGAGGGCCAACCCGGTGGTAAAAAACTGTTTCTTTTTACTCATAACTCAAAAAAAAAAAAAAAACATAAAAACATAAAAAAAAATATTACAAAAAAAGTTTTTATTTTTTTCAACTTTTTCTTCTTTTATCATTCCTCTCAGCCCCTCAACAATCCCCCCACCTTTGTCTCATATTTTTCCTGGACTTATTAAAAAATTTAAAAATTGCAGGTTTTTTTTTTTTAATTGTAACTTTTTTTTTCCTGCAATGAAACAAAACTGTCCCCACAGTTAGTTTCCCAGCCCCTCAATGTCCCACATTCCAAAAAAAAAACTTTGAAAAATCTTCAGATTCACCCCCAAAATTCAGTGTTTGGGGGTTCCATTTTTTCTGTCAACCCACTGTACATCCTCCTCATTGCTGGGGCACCTTCCTACTCCTTCCTGATTGATGAACGAGATAACTTAGGTCACGTCGGAAGGATGATGAGGATGAGAGAGCACTGTTATGTATACAATAGTGTTCTTCCCTCACTGAATCACTCCCCAGCGAGTGAAGTGCTTCAGTTTTGGGATGAGGTGAGGTTACTTCCGTCCGGTTGGTGATGGGAACTGAGTGGTCATTTTGAGGTGTTCATTGAGGAGCAAGTTGTCGGGACGAGACTCATCCGGAGAGGGAGGGAGGGTCAATCTCCGATTACACTGAGGTTGATTACATAAGCTGTGGGAGTGCTGTGGTGGGCGTGGCTGGGGGGAGTAGATAGTAGATTTAGTAGATAGTCCATAGTCTGGTTGGTTGCCAAGAACCCAGTGAAGCGACCACAACTCCTGACAGAAGCAAACAACAAAAATAGTCAAGAGGGATACATCGGATTGGACTTAAGAAACAACCATCTGCTTATCAACAAGAGCCCAGGACGAATAAACCCATCGAACTTGGGCACCAGAATGGCTTCTTCACCTACTGAGCTCATCTCACGAAGCCCTTCGACTTTACTCGGTCATCCCATCTTGGAAGGATGGTTAGTCTCTCGATCACACAATCAGTCATCTCTCTCTCTCTAACTGAAACTGTCTGTCTGCATTCACTCTGCTGGTTTTCTAGGATGCTCAAAAAGAAGAGGAAGAAAATGCAGGGTTCGTCCTCAAGCTTTCATCCTATCTTGCAATCAAGAAATGCGTACTAACCCTTCATTTCCATCCCACCCTAAACCAGGTTTCGCTCGAAGATATTTCTATCTCTCGCAGGAACCAGCCGTGCTCTCATACTCCTTCTCACCCAATTCACGAATCAGGGATTCAGTCCTAATCAAACTAGCCTCGATCTCTATCTCAAGGAAATCAAGATCAATCCACATCGACTCTGGCGGATCTCTGGTCATGCATATCAAAACCCTCTCAGACCCTGATTTCCTACGCTGGACTCAAACTCTTCAATCACTCGTCACCAATGGAAAGCTCAAAGAATGTCAACGGAAACCCCGTCAAGCCCCTAGAGATACCTCAAAGGCCCTACCAAGATACTCGGAATTCAATCGTTCCGACGCTGGCCCCTCTGTTCGACCGGTAGAACTCAGCAATCTATATCATTCCGTAGCTCGGATGCAAGCTGTAAGTAATCAACATCTTGATCATTCTCTCGGCTTGACAAGGAAGAGGGAAAGAGACGCATGTGAGACTAATTTATTCTCATTCGAAATACAATCACAAAGCCATTGTCCATGCTTCAAGAGGTTCAAAATGATCTGCGCGAGTTGCTCTTTCCACCCCAGTCAGAACCACTATCAGCACCTCAACCCAGCACCCCTGGCCAACCACGTTCGCCACCAACCATGTCCCAGCCTGCATATAACCCTACTACCTCTCCGAAGCTTCAATATTCCACCCCGAAAGGAAAGAAACAGCATCTGTTCAAGCATTACAGTCACAATCACGTCACAAGCTCAGTAGATGCCCACAAGGTTTACCAGACCATCACTCAAGCCGTCACCCAATTGAAGACCGAGCACCTCAACCTGATCGACCTTATCAATATTCATCGTACCTCCATGATCTCTGACCAGCCTTCGAAGCTCTCTCAAACCAATCCCAGGACGAGTCCCTCAGTCCACATCACTCGGAACCCGCGTCAATCAACCAGTTCCTACTCCCATGGCGCCTCGGCCTCCGATTACGTATCATCCTCCTCGACCGTAGACTCTCAGCTCAGCTCCCGTCGACGATCATCTACAGTGACGAAGGCCAGCCAGCGTATGCTCCAAGAAACCTCGGAAGTATCCTACAACGTGACTAGTCCTTCGGACGATGATGGGGCTGACTCTGAGAATGATACCGTCTTCCATGACGCTGCCGATGACGATCTCGTCTTTGTGGATCTCGATCTGATCAACAACGGACAGGAGACCGAGTTGGAGATGGCGGGAAACCTAGATTCGAGTAGCGGGAATGATTCGGACAGTGATTGCGGCAAGTTCATCACCAGAGGAGGAGGAAGACTCAAACATAA